TATCTTCTCTACATTGATGGACTGAAATTGACTCCAAAACTTGGTCTTAAACTCCTCTTAGTCACAAAATCTACCTTGAGCTCCATAGCTTTGAGCTTGATGTTGCCACCAAATGGTTGCCATACCTCTCAAATAGTTGGTTGCATACATAATTTTTTTGATGGTATTTGTATTAGATAGTTGGAGGTATTGTGGCATACTAAAGAACCATTGGCATACATCTTCTTATCTTAAAGTCTCAAAGTATGTACCAAGCTTACTTAATTTTAAGCTAATAGATGTCAACTTTCTTATCTTAAAGGCTTCCATTTGTCTTTATAAAATAACTATGTGGCCTAAGAAGTGTTGTATCTAAGTCTCCATTTGGAATTGCTTTGTCATATTTTCCATACTGCAATTTTCTTTTTGAACTTTGCTAATGTAATGCCTTCTTCTTTTCCAATTGACTTCTTAAAAGTAGATCATGATAACTCTAAAATAGTATCTCATGTGACTACAAAAACTAACATCTAACTAAATAGTGGCTATCAACACAATACCAAAGAACAAACTAACACTCACTTTGATACTAATAAAATGGGACTAAACTATATCTAAGATTTAAGATCCTTTCAATCCATAGCGATGTAAATCTTGTCATAATATAAGACAACATAGATTAGAATAAAATTAAAAAAATCTAAACAAAATAGAACATTAAAAGAAGAACACAAGTAAAGAGAATAAAATAAAATTAAATAAAAAAAAAATACAAAACCAAACCTTATCAAGAGAAAGGAATCAAAGCCATACTTGATCAGGTATCCAAATGGCTCATGCGAATCCTATTTATACTTTATTTAACTATCCTAAAACTTTTTAGAATGTTTATAATGGTAGATCCTACTTAAATAATTGTCCTAAGTTCTTTTTAGAATGTTCCATAATAGGTCCATATGCAACAAAATTTGGGATCTTTTTTTTAACATATATGGTTATTAGATTTGAATCTAGGACTAGATGTAAACTTGTCATATATTGCTCCACAACATGTGCCCTCACCATTGCTATGTATCAATTTAGCAAATGACTCACAATTGGGCACTTATTGCAACCTCCAATATAGATAATAAGGCCAATTTGCATTTCATCGCATCTTCCAATATATAGCTTGCAAATCATGAGCGGTACTTATTTTTTATTTGGAAGTCTATTTTAAAATTATATTACTCCTAAACAATGCATGATACAATCACAATAGTTGTTTATTCACCCAAATCTTATAAGTTTGGAAAATATTTTGATACTTTACAATCAAATGGGAGAAAGAGATTACAAGGGAATTATTGGATCAAAGCAAGAAGATGGAAGATGTATGAAATAGGGTTTAGAGATGAGCTGTAATAAGGAAGAATGGTGGCAAAAATTCTAGTAAAAAATAGTAGATTACTTACAATTGAATGTTTAGATTTAGTTGCCTTATCCATATATTAACATCTATAGTTAGCATGGAATTAGATACAACTTGGTAGCATAATTAGATGCCACAATTCTTGATTTTGTAATCCACCATTAGTCGGAACTAAGTTGGTGTATATGTCAGATTTGGGATAAAAGAAAATCTTCAACTAAAACATTTATATAAATTCTGTTTTTGGACCAAATTGTGTGAAAACACTTCCCAATTTCTATTTCCCTACAAATAGATTATTTTTATTCTTATTTTTACACTTGCTGCAGATATGCTGAAATGGTTAAGTTATCTAAAATGGGTCGGTTACCTTATTAATTAATGTGTGAAATTTTCTATACATTCAGAGTTGAAGACTACGCCAGTAAATCTTATTGTGATGTCTACATATGAACTACTCCAGATTCTTCGCTCCTCCTAACAATGTATGAAATGAGTAGTCTATTGAGGTGAAGACCCACATGAACTCTAACATACCTCAGACTACAGAGAATGTCACCTTCTGGAATCGTTGTTTCTAAGGTAGAACAATCCAATCTGATCTCCATTAATTTCTACTTCTTAATCAAAATCATCATGAAAAACGTAGCTAAACAACATGTATTGAAATGTGAATGATTTTAATCCCGAGATTCTGGCCTGACAGTTCCGAGAATGTGCATCAGTTAAGAAGGCGACAGATCTTCATGCCCCAGCCTGCATCACTGTTTTTATTGGCCTTGTAACTTGTTCTAAATTGTTCCTGTCTGAAGCTTGCGCTCACTGCTGTTCTATCTGTGCAGAGTCATGTGTGCGGTAATAGTTTTAAAACCTGGCACCCTACTGTGGTCAAGCCAACAATAATATTCTGGACGGCTTCGCGTAAGCCACGTGGACTTGGCAATGATATTTTTGGCGACGATATGCAGGAAAATGTTTTGAGGAGATCGGCTGTAGCGAAGTAAATCTGCCAGAGCAACGAGGATGTACAAAAGCGGCAACAGTGATAACATAAAAACCGGATGTTTGCGAATGTAAGATGCGTGTTTTGTGTCCGTTTGGGTGACTGGCTGTTTCTCTTCAGTGTAGCGACTGCTGTGTGCTGTGATCCAATTAGCCATTACGGTTAAACAATCATAATGCTCTTTCAGGATTTACGCATTGGGCTCTGCTGTTTGCTTCATGATTCCGATGCTTTCAATTGTCCTGCCAGGCGCAAGGATTGTCTACAATCAATTTCCTGTCGCGTCGTTAAAGCTTTTTCCTGCATGCGGGATGCACTTTTTGCCACTGCCTGCAAGCCTGGCGACGTGCCAAGCGACGCTTTGTCCATTAATTCCGGCCACAGGGAGCAACTACTTTTTGCATTTTTGCATTTTCTTTTTGGTACTAATATGGTTGCCGGGTACAATTCGAGCTTGCGGCGATTATTGCGCTTCATACCCTTTCAAAGCGCTCCATACAGTTTTGGTCTGCAAACGCTACCACCTGCATTCAACATCCAGCTGAACCTACCTGCAACCACTGATGCAAGCTCAGGGCAGCAACTACCTCTACAAAATCAACTCTCCCCCTTCTCCTCCTACAAGCACAGTATGCATTGTCCAGTATTATATCCATTCCCTACGCTCGACAATCAGCCTGCGACGCAGCAATACCACACCTAATCCCATCTCAATGTAAGGCACCGGTGCAACAACGCCTCGCATTGCTAGATCCTTCACTCCAGCAAAACCAACACTGTAATCAGACACACTTGGTTGCGGTGAGGAGAATGCCACGTAGTTTTCATGTTCCTGAACCCTCTTGGTTGGTTTCATGGTCGATTGCACCTTGGCTTGCTTGCTGTGATGTTCCCACAGCTATCCTCCAGGGGAAAGACTGGGCTTTTGAAGAGGATGGTAATAACAGGAACAACAGTGCATCATGAATGCGAGTGTGTTCGCGATTGATTTCGGATCGTTCTGGTTTCTAGTGCATGAATGGGGGAGTGAACTCATCTGTCTTGTTTATTACAGTGGGCAGAGTCATGTCCTGGCCTGCTTGTACTGGCCTGGCTCCATTAAATTCCTTACATGAGGTGGTTCAAGGATGCATTTTGCCGCTTGCTTTGATCAGACTGCCTTCCTTTGCTTATGGGTAGCTTTTTCCACATGCTTCTCAATTAGAAACTGTCCTTGTTCCAGTGTTCTCTTTATTTTGGAGGCAAGTGGACAAATGCTAAATGTTGTGTTGTGAGGCTGCCCTGAGTGCATGAATTGTATTTGAACACACCCCCTAACACATCCCTTGTTTTTTTGTATTTTTTGTTTCTTTTACAGTTCATCTCCTCTAGATCTTCCTACAGACTTGTCTGCAGTAATCAACGTTTGTTCTCATACTTCTGGAATATGAATACTATCACTATTGCAATGCACTGCAGCCTCCGCCAATACTTGAAGTATGTACAAAGATAATGTACATGTCTTTGTAGTGTTTGGACTCTCTAGGTATTTGAACTAATAAATACTTCAAATCTTCTGTGTGTGCATCTCGATTGCACCTTGGTATTGCTGTGACATTCAAAACTTGCAATGATTATCACGACAATAGTATTAATGATTTTCAATTAACATAAAATTTCATTTTTTTTTCCTTTTTAAATTATATAATTATGTTTTGATGTATGTGACTGTACTATTTATTACAAAGATTGATTTTTTTTTAAATCTAAATTTTTAAAGTACTTTTTTTGTAGCTATTCTAAATGCTACACAGTTTTCTTTTGTTTATTCGTCAAAAAAAGCTTTTTATCTAAGTATTAGACCTACTATGTCATATTGTAAATTAGAAAATTATATAAAATAATTTTCAATTTTCAATTTCCAAAATATGTTCTTTAAACTTTGTAAAGAATTATAATTCTATATAATAAAAATATTTATTTTCCAAAAATATTTATTAAAAAATAAATAAATGACATAAAATAATTATTTTATAGATATTTAAAATAACCAAATTTAATACCAGATTTTTTCATTCCATAATTTTTTAGTAAACTTGCTTTCTTCGTTTATTGGTAAACATATAATTTATAAATTAGATGGTCTATTTCACCTTTTTATTTATTATTATTATTTCTTTTTTATTCTCAACCTATGGTTTATTATGAAAAACATAATAATATATCTTAATTTAACTTTTTGTATTATTTAAGTAAATAAAAATATATAAATATATATTGAAATATTGTCCAAATTATCATCCAACTCGCAATTCTTGTTTCTAGTATTTATATGCCATGTTTTAAATACAAAATTTTATTACTTCGATGTAAAATGAGACCACTATATAATATTTTTCTAAGATTAAAATTCTTCAAGTCATTTTCATGATATCCATAGAAAACTAAATGTATAAAACATTTAATCACATGTATTACCTATTCATTTGCTTATTTATTTTGACATCTCATATTTAAAGGGAATTGATAAATCCACCACAATTTTTGCTATTGCCACCACAAGTTGCTATCCATTTAATATGTTTTTTAGTTCATTTTTTTATTCTGATATTTTTTTGTTACTATATATATATAATTTAATATTTTAATTATGTTTTTACAATTTAAACTAATATTCTTAAATGAAGCAGAGTGCACATTTTCCTCTGGTTACCAAGAAATACCCTCTTTCATGCCTTTCTCACTATTGGCAGATCTCAAAGCCAAATTGCCAAAGTCATGGTTTGACTCTTCCTAACTTGTCCTAACTTTCTTTAAACCATTTCTAACAACACTGTTTTTCAACGGCCCACTAAATAGGCCCTCTTGTCAAGGTGCTACTTATTAGACCAGCTACTTTAGGTCCTAATCTTGATCAGTGCCTGGATCCTAAAACAATTCTAACCCAATCCCTGCAAGGTGATAAAACTTCGTAAAAGCTTCTGATCGCTGCAACCCAAGCAGCATGAGAACCTCAAACACGCTTCGATACGGTAAAACAACAACTAAGAAAACAACTTAAACAAACAACTCAAGTAAACTTCATGTCATGAAACCAAAAACAAACTGCAACTGCTCTCTTGAAACCGATCACAACGCTCCTTCCTGATCGTGAAAGAGTAATAGCTTTCTGATCGACGTGTGTGTGAAGGTCTGAGCGTTGCAGGATCTCTCCATCATATGCTGCTGCTGCCACAGATCGTCGTAGCTTGCAACACGCAAGCATCTTGCCCGCCTCATCGTTGCACCCGCACAACTGACGACGGCGCGTTTACTGTTAACACACACACGCACACACACACACACCGCGGCGGGGTGGTGGTTATTTAACAAAAGAGGGTATTTTGAATTGTTGGTGTGTCTTCTTTCCCCTCATTTCCATGCCTTTGTAGGTGCACCAGCTTCAGGTCTACAACAAACCCACACACTCGTCCAGTCGCTCACTCTCCCCACTCAGTTGCACACGTAAACGAAGCCAGCAAGCAAACGAAGAAAATCTACAGAGAGGCATGGATGGGGCTCTTGCAGAAATTAGTTGCACCTTCTGCACGCTTTCTGGGTTTGAGGGCGACCGCTGCCATGGTTTCATCCTCCCTACTGCTTTGGAAAGCTCCATGCCCACCAAACTGTAAACTCCATTCTCGACGTCTTCAGTGTAAATTCGCAAAAGTGCCTTCTACCCGCCATGAAGAGGTCTCGCAGATGTCGAAGCAAATCTAGAGATTGAACCGAGCAGACCTTTCTGTCAGTGTCTATAGCTAAAACTCGGAGACGAGCTCGCACATTGATACATCATTCATGAGATTGCAATAGGAAGCAACACCATTTCACGGCATCACAGTTTCATCACTCGATTGAATCATGTTGCAATGCACCACACAATGCGCTCAGTATCTCTGCTTGTTCCTTGATTGTGATACGATGCGGTGAAGTTATGTATCCGTTTCGTGTCTGTGTTCGAGTGTGGAAAGATTAATTTTTGTTTTTTGTTTTTTATCTATTTAAAATATGTATATATATATATATATATGTGTGTGTGTGGTCAAAATGTATAAAATTATTCTACATATTTATTAATCATTTTATCCTAGAATTTGGTACTTGGAATGTAACAGCAAACAATCTGTCTAGTGTGGAATTAATGAAGGAATTAGCATTTAATGGAAGTTGCAAAGGCAGTGATAGTGCATTAAGATAATAATTGCAAATCAATACATGTCAGATTGTGATAATAAAACAAACTGTATAAAGATTTAGGTGGTTTAACCTAGGTTGAAGAATAATCAATTCTGTGTTAAGCTGCAGGATATTTCTAAAAGATCAACATCAAAATAAAAGATGAATACATTCAAAGTATCTTTGGATTCATTTGTGAGATTTATTATCACATATTAGAAAATAATATATATAAAGGAATGTTTTGAAATTAGTATTTATTTTTTATATTATATTTTTCATAATTGTTAGAATTGAGATATGAATTCAAATATTTAGATATATAACAAAATATTGATTTGGTTCATTTTGTAACTTTTTTTTTCACAATATACCATTTTCAAAATCCAAATCCTACAATAAAAAAAAATCCTTCATCAAGAAAAAATCTTTGCTAGACTTTTGGACCATGACTTTCAAAATGGAATTCTAGATAGTAAGACCCCCTTAAAAATTAATTAAAAAAAAAAAAAAAAAAAAAAAAAAAAAAAACTAATAGGATAAAAAGAAGAAAAAGAAGAAATACAAATACAAATTGTAAACCATTTTCATTCTAGCACAGCATAACATCAGAATCCATTTATAAGATCAGCAAGCCAAACTCCAAGCAACACTTGCCATATTTTACAATAGTACATACCCAATTTTTCTAACATCTGTGCAGGTAGAAGCCTTGGCAAAAACATGTAATTACATTCACCTAATTTGGGATACAAGTAGATAAGGTGGGTTTGGGTACTGTGTGGGATGTTGGGGGACTTAGCAAATGACATATCATGCAAAAGAGGTCCCTCTGTAGGTGTGGAGGTTAGTCACATATAAACTGCGTGGGAACCACCACTCATGGATACACACATCCCATAAAGCAGACCATAGATGATATTGATCAACATTGCCGCACACCCCACCTGGTTTTTTCCCCCTAACTATGCCATTCCCTTTCTACAGCTCCAGTTTCTCCTCAGTTTTCAGAGGCGGTAATTTGGATGAAGTTTATGCATCCTGAGTGTATACAGCCAAGCCAATTGCAGGGACTTTTTTTGTTTTTTTGTTTTAAATTTCCAACTGGGTTCCACACTGGGTAAGCTCCACTTCGAACTCCAGAGGCTACAACGGTTTGTGCATGGCAATGTTGGTTCTTTTGTGATAAAAAGCACCTGCAATGGGGCGTGTTTCCATTAAACGGATATAATCCAGTGATGTAATGTGTCGTGGAATTCGGTGTTGACTTCTGAATTGGATATTGATCCAATGGCGGTGCAGCATGTGTGTTGAGGTGCCAAATATAACCGGGAATACTGTAAATTGGCCGCATCAATCAGGAGTTGTCAGGCGCACTTACTGGTGTCAGAAGAGTAACTCCTGGGATATGATCGACGACCGACCCGGATGTTGGAGCGCGCAGTATGGTTGTGAAATAGCACCCTCCATGATCGCAATTTGAAATGTCCTTTTTTGCACTCGCTTAATGCTCGCAGTTACAGCAGGAACAGCCCCATGGATGTAATAGCCTCCTGAAGCGCTGGATGAGTTCACTTAGGAATCCTGACTGTCAAATCGATTCGTCGGAGATCACCCACAGCTTAAAATAATGCTGCGTGGTGAGTGAGAATATGTATAAGTGTGGCCACTTCAGATGAGACGTAGCGGCCCAAACAAACTGTGTCGATGTCAGCCGCTTTCGTCAGACAAAGAAAAACTTTGGAGCTCCACGCTGTTATCAGGTACGACAGGTTCGACACCGAAATTAATAGCTCTTGAGTATCGTACTCTTGGTGCATTAAGCGATCGTACCTACTGTGTAAATGGGAGTTCAGCTCATGATCCGATGAGGCGGGAGGTAGTCATTAGGTCATGCAGCTCAGTTGGTTTCTAGCTCACTCGGTGCTGATCGTCTGTGCGACGAGGGTAGCAGAAACAGGTGGGTGTCATGAGAGAATAGCTTTCAGGCCTTGCGCAGGTAAACCCTATCAAAAACGAGGCTGGTTTTCTTACGTCCTGGTCACTATGCATGCAGACTATGGAACTTAAGTTCCAAGTAGTGCCGATGTATCTATCTGTGCATGTGTAAACACTTTTTGCATCTTGTTTGACACCTAGTACAGGAAGGTACTGTAAGGAGGATCCGAGGAGTGCGCTTCAGTACAGAAGGGACCCGCAGCTGTACAAGACTAATTTGTAGCTTCAGGTGCTGAAACAAAGCTTATTTTCTATGAAAGCAGGGTGCACCCCATAGCCTAGTACTGAGGGCTGCACTTTGATGCATGCACTACGAGAGTGTGCACTGTTCACGTCGGTGTTGAAGTTTCGAGAAACATACACATCTCTGTGTGCGACCGGAAACAGCTTCAGTCCTGGCCATGGCAGAGCTCGGCGTTTCGGAAATGGAAAGGATGAACACCTTTGGCATTGGAGCTGATGCACAGAGAGGCTTGGGAGCTGGAATGACACTTCCATTGCTGTTTCTGGCGACAGTGGTATGGTGGATATGGCAGCGCCACAAAGCGAACCTGGAGTCAGGGCTGCCTGGCACCTTCGGCCTGCCCTTCATTGGAGAGACCCTGACTTACGTCGCCAAAATGAAATCACCACTCGGCAACTTCGTCGATGAGAAGACTAAAAGGTTAGCTTCTCTGCGACGAGAGCAATGTAGAGTTCAGTGAATCTCGCCGGTGGAACCGGCAACCGACAGTTTGTGACGGTTGCGGTGTACATATGCTCGTGCATGCAGATACAATGGAGCACAGGCGTTCAAGTCGTCGCTGTTCTTCCAACCCACGGTTATTGCGACGGAGGTGGAGACGGTGAAGATGATCGTGGCCAAGGAAGGGCGGTCGTTCGTGTCGAACTACCCCTCAAGTTTCGCCCTGCTCCTGGGGCGCTTCAATGGCTTGAACATGAATGGCGAGAACTGGAAGCGGCTGCGCAAGTTTGTAATAAGTCACATCATGCGTGTGGACCTGCTCAAGGAGCGTATGGCCGATATCGAAGACCTCGTAGTCCGCACCCTCGACTCCTGGGCCGATGATGAGGGGCGCACAATTTATGTCGAAGACGAAACAAAAACGGTCCGTCAGATACTCATTTCCTCCTTTCGTTTCGTCATGAACACTATATTCCTGAACAATTAGGTGCAGTTTACAGTGTACACAGTGTTCATGCTCTTTCACAGATTGCATTCACGATTGTTGTGCACACGGTTCAATGTGGGATAAAAGCAGTGCCACATTCGTCCAGTGAACTTAAATTGATTAACTTGCTCCGATTAATACTGCATCAGGGGTTTGAAGCCGTGTAGTTTCAGTGCTAGATTAATTCTAGCTCGAAGGTACAATGGTCTCATGAAGTGGACGTTATGCAACAGTACTGAGTTATTGTTGGTAATTAACTTGAGCTTGACGTTTATGAACGGGTTTACTTGAGCAGATAGCATTCAACATCACAGCATTGATAGTGCTGAATCTGAAGCCAGGCAAGGTGAGCCAGACGATGCAGCGGGACTACTACCCACTGATTGAGGGCATGTTCTCTCTGCCCATCAACCTCCCCTGGACAATCTACGGCAAGGCCACTCAGGTAATTAAGCAACATAATTACGTAACAAGCTCCTGTCCGTGAGGTACTAGTCTCTAATTCAGGTCCCTTTTGGCGCTCTTCCATTCGAAATACTAGGCCTCGCTTTTGACAGTACCAGAATGTCTCAACCTTGTCCATCGAGATGGCTACGCCAAGGACTCGCGGCATGAGACGATGCAGCGGAGAATGAGTTGGGGTCATTTCTGAATCTGAACAGGACGCAATCAGATGGTGTAGGACCAAACTTCTGCATTGTGCGTTAACACTATGATAACGAGAGCTCTTACTGCGCCCATTGCAGGCACGCGTGCGAATTCTTAAGACCCTGGAGGAATTTTTACAATCGAGAACAGTTAAGGACGATGTGTTCGATAACTATGTACAGTTGCTGCAAGAAGAGTTACCTCCTGGATCCCCACCAGCGCTGAAGCATGAAATGGGTTTGGACCTACTCACCAGCTTGCTCTTCGCTGGCCACGATACCACCGCCGCTACCATGGTCTTTTCTGTGAAATACATTGGCGAAAACCCAAAAGTCCTTGCCGAGTTGCGGGTAAGTTCCGTTCCAGGTATTGGATTCCGAAAGTTAATTTGCCTCAAAGATGTTAAACGTGTGGAAGGAAATCTGCTACCACTTTTTCAACAGTTCCCAACATCGTTCATCTTACGATTTAGGTCTGTGTGTCTGAACTTCAATTCCAGAGGGAGCACGAAGAACTTTTGAAGAGAAAGCAACCAGGGGAGCGAATCAGCTGGGATGATTGCAAGACCCTGTCCTTCTCCAACAGCGTATGCTTGAGACAGATTCCACATACTCTAATCGGACACCCGGTTTCTCAATTCCAATGCTAATATCCTGCAGTCATGGAAAGTTTGATCACTCAAAGATGCTCTTGTTCCTGGAGCTCCACAGTTGATTGCGTTTTTGTTCATGTTGCAGATCATCACAGAGACACTCCGAATGTGCAACATCTCCACAACAGTATTCCGGAAGTCATTGGAGGACGTTCACGTTGGTGGTAAGAGTTCTAACAAGACTGTGGAAACCATCCAACACTGTACACCCATTGCATCTCTAGCCAAGCCTAAAATAAAACCATTCAAGGAATCCATTGAAGCAACTCAGAGGAATGCTAATATTTAGTCTGTTTGAGTTGCAGACTACGTGATTCCCAAGGGATGGCTGGTGCTCCCCTACTTCCGGGCCGTGCATTTCAACCCCAGCATTTATCCAGACCCCTACACTTTCAACCCATTTCGTTACCAGGTATCACACTTCCTCCGAAACCCACTGATGTGAACTTCCGGGGTACAATCCTGAACTTAACTGAAGAAACAACTTGGCTTGGTTGGTGTTCTGTTTTCAGGATGCTGCAGGGTCCAAACTGCCGTTTTTTGGCTTCGGTGGAGGTGCACGACTATGCCCGGGGATGGATTTAGCACGAGCCGAGCTGTGCCTGTTTCTCCACCACCTCGTCATGAAATTTGAGTGAGTTGCATCCCATTTTTCTGTGCACTGTACTTCGACGTCAATGCAACCAAACCTTCTCTGTTTTTTCTCTTCTTTTTTGTTTTCCCTTTTGTTTCTTTGCTTGCTCACAGGGTCTCTATGCCAAAACGATGGCTTTGTGCAACTAGGTCATGGGAGCTGCTCGGCAACGACGTGGTGTCTTACTTCCCTTTTCCCCGCCTCAGCGCGAGGCTTCCCATCCGTGTGAAGCGTAGGACCCCACCCCAGCAACCTTCGACGTAAACTTCGAAACTTACTTGAGCCTTCAAAACACAGATTCTACTTCTGATACAGCAACGGATTGAGCAGGCAGAGGATCAAGTATAAAACTTTAGGGTTAGATAGTTTTCACTCTCCTTTAACTACCACCTACCCTGCTTGGGGCGTATCTACTATAGGTAAGAGCACTTGGAAAACAACTAGTGCTTGATTTATATGCCCTCTCTACTAAGTTTGCAGTTTGTAGGTACTGATTTTGCAATAAGACGCAAGGAGTCTTAGCTTTAACGTATCTTTTGAACGGTAGTATTCATTGTAGATTTCATTACGTGGGTGTTACTGATTGATGTAAATTTTATATATATTTCATATGTAGATGAAGTTGTTTATAAGTTGTAAGCAAACAGCATGTGTACATATATTTTGGTTAGATTCGACTCATGCAATTTGAATAGAAGTTGAAATAAATTGCATTGATTTTAACTTCATAAAATAGCCTGGGAACGAATCAATAAACCATTCGAATTGATGGAATTCTTTGGTAGTGCATGTTATTTATTTATTTATTTATTTTGAAATTATCTTAATTTCACATTTATAGGTATTTCAAAAAACTTCACATAGAAAATTAGATCGATCAGAATCTTAGAATAATGTGTTCCATTATTCTTAACATACTTAAAAGATTGCTCTTTTTCTTGATAAGGAGGTAAATTGTATCAAAATATAGTTTAGAATTAAATATTGAATCATAATAGTTTTAATAATTAATTTTAGATTTAAATAAAATAATTTATATTTTTAAATTTAAATGGCTTATTTTTTCTAAGTGTAAAAATTTTAAACTCTTTGAGTGTTTCGAAATATAATGTATGCATTTCTTGGCATATTATAAAAAATCTTTTGTATCTATGGATGGTGTAAACCATTGTTAAATTGTAGATTTACAATAATTTTAAAATCAAAATATATTCATATACTGAATTTAAAGAAGATTTTTCTAGAGTCATATAAAAATGTCCTTGGATGTAAGTTGCTACATTATTAAAAAGTAGATTGTTGAATTAACTTTTTATTACAATAAATTGCAAGGAATAGGATTTTTTCTTTTTTCTTTTTTCTTTTTTAACTTAACAACTATTTTTTATTTATTTATTATAATATAAATAACAATAGTAATCAATTGGTAGTTTTTATAGATACAATGAGTTTTTTTGCTAAAAATAAATTTTTATTTGTTTACATTAATATTGAATCAAAAATTAATAAACAAATTAAAAAACTTGTTATATTTCTTTAAAGACAATGTATAGAATATATTTGACAAGATACAATAGTCTTTAATAAAAACCAAGCTACAAATGCATATAAATTAATACTATTAGAAAAGACAATCTAAAGAATTCTATATGTAGATAAACTCAATTTGTAAGATGACCATTTAGTATTTTTTTTGCTTTAAATTTTAATATTTTAATAGAAAATAATAGAAAAAATTAAAAAATTAAATTATTATTTCTATTGCTTAATTATCATTAAAATTTTAGATTATATAAAAAACTTTAAATTTTGTATGTTAGATTAATTTATTATCTTTGAATATATAAATAACAAAAGAATCTTCATTAAAATTTAGAAATTATAATATAATTATGAAAAAAAAAAGTGAATAAATAATATTTATAGAAGGACTTCATTAAAAGATAAGTAGATTTTTTCTTTGAAAATTGTAGCTAATGGATTGGAGGTATGAGACCATTTTATGTTTTAAGTTAATTATTTGATTTATAAAAATAATTATAAATATAAAAAAACTTCTATTTACTTTTTAGAGCCATTAATGAAACAAAACAGAATAAAAATGAAATAGAAGCATTATAAACATTGTTAGGTAAAAGTTGATTATAGGTTTCAATAATGTTCATTAAAAAAAAGTTTGATTGATACCTAAGAATGAGCATTTGTAAAACAAGATCAAAATTAGATTCAATGTATGAAAATGGGCATCTATAACAAAAGTAAGATTCTTTTGTGGATTAGAAAGGGAATTTAAAAAGAAGAGTTTAATAGAATTTTATAAGTGAATAAAATAAATAAATTTAATTTTTACTAAATTTATAAGAGTTAATCAAAATAAAGATTTTGATTTTACAACATTATTTTGACTAATAAATTAAGTAATATAATTTTGGATACATTATAAATATTATAAAAGACCTAAGGTTGATTTTTTATGTATTTTTGGATGTAGTTTAGAATAAAATTTATTAATTTAATCTTATTTTTTCATTAAATCGAAGATTATTAAAAATAAAATGCAATAAGATACCAATAATTGGTTACTAAAAGATTAGTAATGGTACTACTTTTTTATACACATTCACCACTTATATTGAGCTAATTATATGAGATTTAATAGATAATTAAAGTTTAAAGACTTATACTAAGTTTAAGCTCAAATAAACAATGGAAGGAAGTGATCTTGTTATTAGAATTTTACATCAAAGTTAAAAAAAGAGATTACTCAAACTTCATGTTTTTATTTATTTTTTTATTTATTTTTTTCTTAATTTATATATTGGATATGTCTCAAAAACTTTAAGCTTCTTATTAAGTAGAAATTTGATAATAATAATATAATGCGTATAGTAAAATAAATCACTTCTACATGTACATACCTTATGCATTTTTTGCCTAAAATTTAAGAACTACAATAGTGCCTATAGTATTGGCTAATGGTATTTATATTTAAAATAATAATAATAATTATACAATCTAAAACTGTTTGGATTTATTTTTAAAAAAAAAATGATACTATTCAATTGTAATAAATTTCATTAGCTTGAAAATTATTTTTAAAATGCATAAATAAAATTTATATTTTATGTTTGGTCAAAAATTTATTATATTTTTTAAAATAAAATTTTAATATCATAAAAAAATGATTCTTAAATAATTTTAGATTCAATTTTAAAATCAAATTTGGAATATTAGAACTAACTGATAATAAAGCTATTTGGTATATAAAAGTAATGTTAAAAAATATTTAATTATATGTATTAAATTTTTTTTATAATATAATTTTTAGTCAAAATAGATAAATATTAATATGTATTATTATATTCTTTAAATTATATTTAATATCAATAAATTTACAAGATTTAGATAAAAGTATTTATATTATATGTCACAAATATAGACATTTACTCCAATAGTTACTTATATGATTAGATAGAAATAGATAAATATAGATTAATTTCATTATATCTTCCAAAGAAGCTTCTTAAAAGCTTCATAGATGTGGTTTTGACTTTACATATATTTGTAGTTGATTGATAGGTAAGAAACTTGATCAACAAGTTAATCACATACTACACATTGTCGTGTTGTGGTTTGGCTAACATATGAAAATAATGTATATATATATATATATATATATATATATATATATATATATATAATTTAATATAAAATGTAATGAAAGCTATATTATTAGATTTTAATTAATCACAAAATATGGTTAGATTACTACTTTGAAGTTAGTTTAAAAGGGCTATTATTGAGGTTGATTTTATGTCGATAATAGTTTTTATATATTTAGAGCTACCTTTATAAGACATTGATAATTCTTGAAATCTTGTTTGTTTCTTTTATTTGGTATTTAGGATATATATTATCCAAAACTTATTAGAAAAAGGATTAAAGAAGGTTTTCAGTGTGAAAAGAGTAATTAGGCCAACCATATGGATGAATGGAAATAGATGGTAAAAATCTCTATTTTTATTAGCCAAAATTCATGCCTAATGGACTTTAAAGATGCTGCCTAAAGTCTTATTAGGAATTAGGATTACTCTTTAAAGGTCATTTGAACTTAGAAGACTATGTCACGGACATATACATTTACCTCAATAGTTACTTATATGATGAAATAGAAGTAAATAAATATAGAATAATTTCATAAAATCTTCTAGAAAAGCTTCTTAGAAGCTTTATAGACGTGGTTTTGACTTTAGATGTATTTGTAGGTTAGAAACTTGGCCAAAAAGCTAACCATGTATTAGTAGCTTTTGAAACAAGTTATCTCCATGTAATAGCTTGTGGAACAAGCGAATTATGTGGCGCATACATAGATAACTTGCCTTACAAGATAAGACATATGGCTAGGAAAGTCAACACATGTTGGAGGTCCTATAAGACATCGCCACGTAGTTCTTCGTTAGATAGTATATATGGAGGCAAGAGTGAATCCTTCTTCACTCTTGTCAACCCCTTTCTAGTCTTAGTCTTCTTTCAAGACTTTCTAGTCTTCTTGTTTTTGGCAATAACCATTCTAGTTAATATTACATAACCTTTTGAGTGACTTTCTAGTTCTCTTCAAAGATAGAAGAGTGTATTGAGGATTCTCTTTCTTGGAGATTCTGTCATGGACAAGAACTCGATGAAAAAGCAATTTAGAGAAGTGAGTCTTCACTCAAAGAAAGATAACAAAATATAAATAAACAAATATGTATATTGAAAGAGAAACTAGAATGGCTATTGCCAAAAGACAAGAAAACTAGAGACCCTTGAAACTAGACTGGAAGCAAGAAAAAAATTGACAAGAGTGAAGAAGGCTTCACTCTTGTCTCTATATATACTATCTAACTAGGGGCTATGTGGCGACGTTTTATAGGACCTCCAATATGTATTATCTTTGTAGGACACATGCTTTGACTTATAAGGCAAGTTTTTTTACATGTGGGCCATATAGTTAGCTTGTTCTTCAAGCTAACAACATGTGTGGTACATGGCCAACTTGTTGACCACGTTTCTAATCCAAAAGGTCAATTAAAGATACCTATGAAGTCAAAGCAGTATCTATGAAGCTTCTAGAAAGCTTCCATATTAAATACTATAGAATTAACTTACTTTTACCTACTTGTATATGTAATTACTAGCTTACATGAGTATGTCCGTGACATTACCCTCCCTTCTAGGGACGAGTTCTATGAGGAGCGGTCATCATATGTTGAGGAAATCTATGATGTGATGAATTGTATTCGCCACATACTCTGATCTTTGTTCTCTTCGAAGATGATTGATAGGGCCTTTCAACCATCGGTAGTATCCCATACCAGGGCAGAAAGACCACCCAGTTATTTGATCATTGTTGAGGCCTTCATAACTTCCTTCAAATAGAACATTTGGAACACCATCAAGAGTTGTTCCTACCTCTAGCAAAATCACCAAACATCGAGAGTCCCTTCCCAAATTGTGATACCAAACGCATTGTATCTTGCCATCTATTCGAAGAAGAACATGTTGTTCTTGAAGATCTTCATCTCGATTGCATCGTCTTGAAGGTTGTGAAAATTGTAATGTATTGTCTGGTAGGTTAGCAAATGAAGGCTCTAGAGTCGAATCCGCTGCTTGTTGGTTCTCCATCTCCTGAGCGTTACAACTACAAAGAAGCTACGAACAAGGATTGAAAGTAGAATGTTATCTTGCT